TGAGTTGAATTGAACTGGAATGATCTAAATTCCTCCTGCTCCCTATCTGAAGACCAGCTTCCCTACCAATAAAATGGAACAACAATAATAATGATGCTCTAGGCTATTTGTCAAAGGATCTTACCATTCCTGGGTGAAAAACACTATGTGGATTCACTTCAACAGATATATCAGCCAACTAATATGTTTAAGACTCTGTTGGAAGAGGCAGCTAGGCGGTGCAGTGGATAGAGCACCAGCCCTAGAATCAGGAGGACCTGAGTTCACATCTGGCCTGAGACATTTACTAGCTGTGTAACCCCGGGTAAGTCACTTAACCCTGATTGCCTCAAAACAAAAAAAAGAAAGAAAGAAAAAGAAGACTCTTTGCTGGTCATGGCTGATATAGAAATATGTTTCACATGACTTCTCGCATGTATAATTGACATATTTCTTGCCTTCTCAATGAGAGGGAAGGGGCTAAAGGAAGTGTCAGAATTTGGAGCTCAAAGTTTTAAAAAATGAATGTTAAAAGTAAATACATAAATGACATATTGAGGGAGGAGAGACTCTTTGCTGGGAAATAACTAAGGCATAGTCTCTGTCCTTGAAGGACTTACATTTTCCTTTCACAGTAGGTTTAAAAATGATGTTTGTGGTTGGAATCCTCCTTTCCCATAGGAATCATACTTTATCTCTAGTTGCTAGTTCCCCTGAATATCTGATAAATTAGTTATCAACCAAAGAAGGCTAATTCAAATTGCCCCAAGGGAACTGAAATGGGTGAAGAACTCATTAGCTTATTCCCAGAGGGGAAGTCAGAGACATCATTGGAGTAGGATTAGCCTGCCCAGGATGTAACAGAGCCATTCAAACTTTAATGTTGAAGAGGTGCACATAAAATTAATGCATCGGAGGGAATGCTGGGAACAGTAAAATGGCGCAGACCTTTTATTATGACAGAGAACCTCTCCAACATATGTTTCTTGGAGATCGATGACAGAGCCATTCAAACAGTGCAACATGTGGTATAGGGAATTTAGATTGGCTCATTCTAGTGGGGCAGTCCTTGGGATGGGAGTGGTCTGTAGTTTGGAGTCTTTTCTCTAATTCAGAGGCCAACTACCTGATATTGTGATTATTTCTAGCCCAGTTTTGCAGAGACTGCATTAAACAATCTCTAAATTCTTGACTAGTGATGAGATAAATCATGGGGTCATTAGATTTTGAGAAAGAAAGGACTTTAAAGAAGGCTTTACACATGGAATGAAGAGGTTAGGTGGGGCAGGCATGTAAGATTCTTCAAGCCTAATCATATCTATTTTTAAAAAGTTTTATTTTGGATTTTGTTTTGTTTTGTTTTGTTTTGCATAATGGTCTCTCCATAACCATCCCCCATCAAACACTCCTTTGAAATAAAGAAAAAAAAGTTTATATAGAGACAATATCCGATGGTATGTACAACATTCTATAACCATACTCCACCCCGCTACCTGTCTATTAAGAGGCAGGAGGTATATTCCATTATCAATCCTCTGGGCCAAAGTTGGTCATTATAATTAATGAGAGTCTGACTACCTTTTAATGCCATTTCTTTTTCATCATTGAAATAATTGTGTATATTGTTTAGGAGTTATTTCTGTTTTGCTCTGTATTCGTTCACACAAATCTCCTCTTGCTTCTCCACGTGCCTTATATCCGAAGATCCTTATTGCACAATACTAGTCCATTACATTCATATGCTACGGTTTTTGTTTAGCCATTTCACCCTCAATAAGCACCCACTTTGTTTCCAGTTTTTTGCTACTATGAAAAGAGTTATCATCTTGCTGCTTCTAGGAGAAAATATAAATTCCTGTTTACTTTTAAATACCTATACAACCTGGCTTCATCTTACCATTCCATTCTTATGCCATTCTTATTAGATATTACTTTCCTTCCTACATCCTAAAATCCAGTCAAACTGGCTTTCTCTCTGCTTCACATATTTCTTGCCTTCTCAATGAGAGGGGAGGGGCTAAAGGAAGTGAGAGAATTTGGAACTCAAAGTTTTAAAAAACGAATGTTAAAAGTAAATACATAAATGACATATTGAGGGAGGAGAGACTCTTTGCCAGGAAATGACTCCATTCCTCTTCCTGGTGACTTTGCACTGACCATAACACATGTTTGGAATGCACTCTCTCCTTTCTATTTCATTGAATTTCTCCCTCTTCTTTTAAAATTCAGCTCAAGAATCATCTTCTGAATGAAGCTTTTTCTAAAACCCCCAAATGCTAATGCCTTCCCTTTCAAACTACCTTGTATTTTACTACTTTGTATGCATTTATATGAAACAGCTAGGTGGCTCAGTGGATAGAGCCCTGGGCCTGGAGTTGGTAAAACCTGAGTTCAAATACAGATGCTTTCTAGTTGTGTGATCCTGGGCAAGTCACTTAACCTCTGTTTGCCTTAACCCATCAAAGAAGGAAACGACAAATCACTCCAATATGCTTGCCAAGAAAACCCCATGGACAGTGTGATCCACAGGTTCACAGAGTCAGATGTGACTGAACAACTGAACAATGACACACACATGCACATACGTACATATACTATCTTTGTTTTATACACACACACACACATACAGTTAGTATGTGTGTGTATGCTTGTTGTTCCTCCTATTAGAATGTAAACTCCTTTGCAAATATAGATTGTTTCTTTGTACTTACACCCCCCAGTGTCTAGTAGGCACTTAATGAATACTTGTTGAAGGACCAATTGATTAATTACGGGACTTTCCTTTTCTCTTTGACTTCCTTGGAGCGCATATTCAATAGTGAGACTGCTAGGTCAAAAGGTAGAAACACTTTAGTGAGAAGCATCATTCCTTCCATGGGTCAGTTTCACGTTCCATCCATCCCTCATCTCATCTTATGCTTGCTGCTTCTGACCTACTCCCCATCTCCTTCCTAGCTCCTGAGAACAAAACTCCCTTCCCCTGCCACCTCTCTTCTGTGTGTGTTGTCTTCCCATATAAGAATCCTTGAAAGCAAGGACTGTCTGAAAAAATTGTATCTCCAATGTTTGGAACTGTGTTTGGCACAAAGTAAGTGCTTCATAAATGCTTTTTTATTCACTTACACTTCCAAATTGTTTTATATGATGGTGTGACAGCTCCATTACTTTGGCTGTCTTTCTACAGCCCCTACAACATTGACCATTTCCATTTTTTATAGTTCCCAATATTCTGAAGAAATGAGGAGAAACTCTGGGGTTGGTTTAATCTGCATATCTCTAATTAGTGATTTGGAGCATATTTTTTCATTTATTTAGTGATAGTTTTCAATTCTTCTTTTGAAAACTGTTTATTTATCTTTTAACCATTTATAATTCTAAAACCAGTTTCTCCCTAAGAAGTCTAATCTTCTCAGTGCCTTACCTTAGTGTCAATTCAATTAACTGAGGGCCAGAGAAGTTATAGGATTATAACCAGACTTACTTTGTTCTTACACTCTACCTTCCAGCCAGAGTACCAGTCCACTTGTTATTTCTCACATATACCATCTCCGATCTCTATGCCTTTGTACTGACTGTATCCCATTTCTAGAATACACTCTTTCCTCACCTCTGCTTCTTAGAATCCCCATTGTCCTTCAAGGTATAGCTCAAATGCCACCTCCTACATGATGATTCTCTCCTCCTCAGATGGTTTCTCTCTCTCTCTCTGCCTCTCTCTCTGTCTCTCTCACTCTCCCCCCCTCCCTCCCTCCCTCCCTCCCTCTCCCTCTCCCTCTCCCTCTCTCCCTCCTTCCCTTCCTTCCTCCCTCTCCCTCTTTCTCCTTCTCCTTCTCTGTCTCCCCCTCCCTCCCCCCTCTCCTATTAATCAATTTATTTAGTATTTATTTAACTGTACTTTCCCCGAGAGACTGTTTTTCAGTCAGTAAACATCCCTTAAGTGCCTACTATCAGCAAGCATTGTACTAAGTGCTGAGGATACAAAGAAAGACAAAAGCCCCTGCCTTCAAGGAGTTTACCATCTAATGGGGAGGCAGCATGAAAACAACTACATTAAAAACAAGCTAGATACAAGCTAGATGGGTGATAACTAATGGAGGGTTAAGGAAGATCGGGAAAGTGGGATCCTGTAAAATGTGGGATTTTAGTTGGGACCTGAAGGAAGGCAAGGGAATTAGAAGGGAGAGAGAAGGAAAAAAAGCTTCTCTAGGCATAAATACCCAGAACTGGAAGATGGAGCTTGTTCAATGCCCAGAACTTAGTCAGGAAACAGCAAAGAGGTTAGTATCATGGGATCAAAGAGTATGTGGGGAGGTGAAAGAAGGTGGAGGAAGACTGAAAAGGTGAGAGAAAAGAGAGGAGGCTATGAAACAATAGGGAAAGCTTCATGAATTTTCTTATCTTACCCCATAAAGTCAAGGACTATCTTTCTGGTGCTAATGCCTAGAGGATATGGTACATAATAGGTATTAATAAACAGGTACTTATTGAGCAACTAAATTATGGACTTAGACCTGTAAAAAGGCATGAAAAACCATCTAGTCAAATCCCTTTGGTTTATAGAATAGGAAATTGAGACTCATAAATGAATTTCCTAAGGTCAGAGAGTTGCAGATTTAGGATTGGAATCCAAATCTTCTGACACTAAGACCAGAGTTCTTTCCTCTGCATGATACTGCCTCCCAATGACATAGGATCCTCCTTAATGTTTGTTTCCTCTTTCTGTGATTTTATCCAATTAATACTGTATTTATCTTGTTTATACATAGTTGTTTACATGTTATCTTCTCAGTTAGACTGTGACTTCCTTAAGGGCAGGGACTGTCTTTTGCCTTTCTTTATATCCCCAGCACTTGGCACAAAGCCTGACACGAAATAGGTACTTTAATAAATGTTTTTTATTTGAGGTGGCAGAGCTGAATCCTGAATCCTCAGATTCCAGAACTATACCAAGTACTTAGCTCCTATTAGATCTGTATTCTGCTTACAACCTAGAACTCAACCCTCATCATTTTTCTCTCCAGGTTCTTTCCTTCTCCTCAACACATCTGAAAACACCAAACATACCATTCTGAGCCCTTGGATGAGGAGCAACAGTGAGCACTGCACCATGGAAGTGTCCGTATACAGGGACCTCCAAACCTCTGGGAGATACATGGCTCAACTTCTACCACACAATGAAGCTAGGAGAGAGATCTTGCTGGTTCCAAATCCAGAGACACATGGGTAAGTCTGTTCTTTCATTCAAACTCTTTTTTAAACTAGCTTTTGACATAAGTTTTCCAGGGAGCTTAAGTTTATATCAAATATGCAATGATCTTTTAATGGAGAGTGTCCAGATTGGACCATTACTACTGATACTGCCTTTGGGGGTCACTACAGCTTTGAGAGAGGGTAAGGAGGGGTGTCCTTTTCACTTTCTTGGCTGACTGCCTTTCCAAGGTTCAAGAACTAACTGTTAGAGTAGGCAATTAATAATTGGGTGTTTAAGATACTTATTGACCCAAATCCGGACGGAGCCAGGAAGGAAAGAGATGACCAGAATGTTTGAAACAGAAATTAGAGCAATTTATGGTGATGGAATCTGGACTTTCACAAGGAAAGCCTCAGCAGGAGGAAAGAACTGAGAAACATCTGAACATAGATATAATGAATATCCAGGAAGCTCCCACAAGGTTCAGGGGTAAGAAACTAACCTGTAAGGTGCATTAGTGGTCCTTTAACTGTCCTCTCCTGTTAGGTCAGCAGATATTTTTATAGAGCATTATCTGAGACTTCCAAGGCTTCTTAAAACACTCCAGTTATGTGCAAGACCCGTTTCAGCTAACCTCTCTAAACTTACTTACATACTAACCTCTCACAAGTATATGTATGGGTAAAAAGCAAAGAGCAATGGAAGGCAAGCCTGAATCAGAACAAAGGCAACTGCTCCTCCCAGTTGCTTTATCTTTTCCATGGGTATACATAACAGCCAGATAATTGACCCTACATTTTAAGAGTGCAAGAAATCTGTTTCATTTTGCAATTAGGACAGAGCCAATATGCAGCCTGAGGGTCAAATATAACTTGCCTCATTCTGGGATAGGACCTGAAAGAGATATACAGCAAATTTCCTCTACTTAATTAGCTAGCACATAGGAACAAGCAGGATAGTTGCTTTAACCCCTCTTACTGCTCTCACTATATACTTATTTCACCAGGTGTCATGCTAGCAGGCTTGGCTAAATGAGAAACTCTCATTGTAAAAATGGATGCATCTACACTCATTTCTGCTGCTATGGTCTGATGACTTTGGAAGACATGTGGCTGCTCTGAAGTAGGGCCAGGGAGGCTTTGCCGCAGTTTCTACTAGGGAAGTCAAAGTTTTTAGCTTTGCTTCTGAAAGCACAGTACCTTGCAAATAGTAAGTGTTTAATAAATGCTTCTTGGAGTGGACTGAATTGAGTTGAATTGAATCGGGCATGGGACCTTCTACTGTTTGAGTAGTATTCATAGGGATGCAGAGATATCTAAAAGTTGGCTTCTTGGGCAACCTCCATCCCCCTCTGACGTGATACAAAGAGAAAATGTGATTTTTCAGCTCTGAAAGAAGAAAGCTCACCCCTTTTAGTAATTTCATGGGCCTCGTCCCCTTTGAACTTTGAAGGCTTAGCTGGGCTTGCAGACTGCCTTCCAGCAGAAATGAAATGATGGTGGCCCTTTTTCTCATATATCTACATGTACTTCTCAATGCTCCAACCAGAGAGACTTTTTCAGGTGACTAGAAATCATTTTACGGCCAAGAGCATCTTCTCTAGCAGGGAAGCCAAACATGCCTCAGCTTTTGGTGGCCTGCTGTTTCACCCGAGCAATTACATGGGTTTGTGTCTCCTTCCAGCACAACTGCTGCTTCCTATATGGAGTCCACTTTGCAAGGCGTTGTATCTGCAGGAGTATCTCATCAGGCAGATGAGATAGCCAAAGGCTTTGGAACGTGATTTTATTGAGTCTTAAGCTATCTATTCTCACCCTTCTTTTCATGACTGATCAGTGTCCTTCTTTCCCAATGAACTTTTGAAAGTTTGGTATTGGCACACGCAGAGTGTGTTAGCTTGATGGGGGAGACAGGACTTATGGACTCAAGGGACAACTTATGGGCAGGCTGCAAAGGTAGATGACAGTGAAGTGGAGAGAGATCTGGGAACAAGAGAAAGGTGCCGATGAGGATGTCAATATACATTGGTTAGTGACATCTATTTTCTCTGGGTTGACAGCCCATATGTTAAACCTCTAAAGCTCCAGAAAATGCTTTCACTATGTGTAAGACTTCAGCTAAATTCTGGACCAGTTATAGACCAAGATATAGAAGAATTCATTGGTTAAAAAATCTACAAGAAATAATACAAGGGCCAGAGTAGAGGAAAAATCAAAGGCTCAAAGAGTCTTGCAAAGGGGCATCTACTCTTCCAGTACACTACCAGCAGAGTCTTTGCATTTAGCAAAGAATTTAGTTTGTCCAGTTTCTCATACCAAAAGAATCTTCTTGAAATATTGACCTAGAAATGACTGTGGGCTTCTTTCAGTGCTCTGGTGAAGTAAAAGATCTAATGGATGAATGTCTTAATGGGGAAATCATGTCAGACTTTTCTTTCTTTGTTTTGGTTCAGACCTCTGACTTCATTGGAACAGGCACTTCCAGTACAGAATTTCTTTCCACTAATGCAGATTGGCGGCTCATTTTAAACTTTTAGTCTTTGAGAATCTCCTGGGACACTGACAGGCTATACATGCTTGGCCCATGGTCAGAAAACCCATTTATAGGATCCTGGATTTAGAAATGGAGAGACTTTTTAAACACCGTCTGGCCCAGCCCCCTCATAATGAAGAACTGAGGGACAGAGAGGTTGTCCAAAGTCACATACACATATGTCAGAATCACATCTTGAACCCATGTCTTTCTGGGTTCAGAAACAGAAAGAACAGAATTTAAGTTCCATTCTTGGTGCATCAAAGGGCATAGTAACAGTTGGATCCAAAGCCAGGCCTGAATCTACTATTCCATGCTGTCTCTCTAAAATAATGCTATATAAATACCAGCCATTATTATCAGCTATTGTGTAGTCCAGTAGGATACAAGCTTCTCGGGAATGCAGACTTTATCATTTTTTGTCTTTTTATCTCTAGCACCAGCACATTAATAAATCCCTGTAAAAAGCTGTTGAACAAATGCATAGCACATATAACAGCTGAAAATGATAACTAATACATCTAGAACATTAAGGTTTGCATTAGAGTGCTATCCATTCATTACCTCATTTGTTTCTCACAGAAAGTAGTGGATAGAGCATAACACCTCAGATACTTTCTAGCTGTGTGACCCTGGGCAAGTCACTTAAATACTTTCTGTCTCAATTTCCTCAGCTATAAAATGGGAACCATAATAGCACCTACCACAAAGAGTTGTTGTGAACATCGAATCTGTGAAGTGCTTTGCAAACCTCGAAGAGCTATACAAATCTGTTATCATTATTATTATCAACCATATTGAGGTAGATTCTATAGGATTTATTACTGTCCCTTATTACTAAGGCTTAGTGAACTTAAGTGACTTGTTTGGTATCATCTAGCTAATGTCAGAGGCAGAATTGGAACTAGGATCTTTCCTTATTTCCCAGTCCATTGCTTTTTTCTCTATGCCATAATTTTCTTTCAACATTAACTGTTAATGCTGCCACAGCAACCCTAGGCAGAACAATCTCTTCCTGCTGAAGACATGGTGCTAAAGACAGATTTTGTTGATGTTACAAGGTCACCTGGGCCTGGGCCTGCTTCTACCAGGCTTCTACCCTCTCCCTATGAGGGCATCTCAGGAACAGAAAAATCTCTCCTCAGAGCTATCCCTCTTAGTTTAGTGAAAACTAAAAAGCAACTCCAAAAAGCCAAATTAAAAGGTTAGTTTTGTGGGCTAGGCAGGACTGTCATGCCCGCCTTGGGCACAGATCAATATATGGTAAGACAGGAAGGTGGCAAGCTGAAGGGGTAATCAATAGTCCATTGCAGTTTGTTTGGGAGAATTGTCCCTGAGTGCCTCTTGGAAAATCTGAAAGGGCAGAAATCTTGCAGAGCAAACAAAGGCATTTGCTTAACAGGTCTCTTACTTGAAAAATTGAGGAGCTATTGTCTGTGTCCATGGGCTATGTCCACAGGATATGTGTCCATTGGCATGCCCATGTTATGTGTTTGCTACCTTATCATAATCCTACTTCTCAGATCAAACTGACTTAAGCTTAGGGTCCCGAGATATTCAGCAGTTTATTGTCTTCAAAAGCTCCAACATTCTTATTTTAATGTTAGAAATCTCAGTATTTGGAAGCTAAAGAGACATGGTATGTAGCCTAATTGAGGTCCCTCTGGAACCCTGGAAAGGGTTCCCTTCCATTTCTATGACCATAAAATCACATCAGTAGCAAGAGAAGGAGTATGATTTTGAAATGAGGTCCTCTGACACCACATCAGAGCTCTTTCCACTCAACCTTGTTGCCTTGGGTATGTTATATCTTCAGGAGGCTAACCCTTTAAAATATAGGCCAGGGTGAGGTCTCAAATACTTTCCAGAATTTAATCCTATGCCCTAGTGACTGAAGTTCTGATCTTGTTGGGGCATCAAAGGGCATAGTAACAGCTAAGTAATGATGACAGTGATTATTACAAATCTTGCTGGCTTCCTCTCATAACAGGAGAGAGTGATTAAGGATTACTTTTTGGAAAACAACAGTATGTGTTTTCCAAACACATGTATGTGGAAGGTGGGGGAAGGTGTAATAATAAAGCCTGCTGTAGAAAGCTTGACTCAGAGGAGTGGGCTGAGGGATGGTAATGCAGGAACTACATGGTCCCCAGGAAACAGGGGAGTCGTGAGCCACTGGTAAACGATGTGGGTTGGTATGTGATGTCAGTCAGAGCATCCTGCTTAGAAGCAACTGCTAACAATAGAGGAAAGACAGTAAAGGAAATCACTGTACCTGCCTCCCTTCCTGACTCTGGGAAGACAGAAGAGCCTGCATGAGATCCAGTGGATTTCAAAGCACGATTGATCTCCTCTGCCAAAGTCATTTGGTTTTAATGGTAGCCTTGGAGGGACAGAGGAGATGAAATGCCAGACCTGGTCATCCATTCATCTGGCTAGAATGACCACAGGAGCCAGGGAGTGTAAAACCAAGCACCAGAGTGTGGGCAAAACAAACCCC